TTCCTGAGCCAGCATGGGGGAACTATGGCCCCTTCATGACTCGTGGACTTCAACTCCCAGAATTCCTGAGCCAGCATGGGGGAACTATGGCCCCTTCATGACTCGTGGACTTCAACTCCCAGAATTCCTGAGCCAGCATGGGGGAACTATGGCCCCTTCATGACTCGTGGACTTCAACTCCCAGAATTCCTGAGCCAGCCATGCTGAGGGGAAAGGGAGAGGTTTCCAAGCTGAGCCATGCTGGCTCAGGAATTCTGGGAGTTGAAGTCCACGAGTCATAAAAGAGCCAAGGTTGCCTACTCCTGACTTAACCACTGCAAACCCCCCATAACTACATTGATCACATGACCGACCCGTTTTACAACTAACCGTAATAGGCAGGCTTCCTGACGGTCGTATGTGGAGGACCAGCTGTCAAGATTCCTCCAAAGAAGTCCCCCAGGGGGTGGGGGGTCCAGGAGGGCAGGGAGACCCTGGATCCCCCCCCAGGGAAGGAGTACAGAGGGGCTTCTCCAGGGGGGAGGCAGCAAAGAAGCCCCCCCTCCCCACACTCCAGAACTGGTAGTCCTCAACGGCCACAAATAAGCCCAAAATTTATGTCGCTAAGTGAAGTGTTTGTTGAGTTTTGTCCCGTTTTACAACCTTTCTTGCCCCAGTTGTTAAGTGAATCACTGCAGTTGTTCAATTAGTAACACCGTCGTTCAGCGAATCCGGCTTCCCCCATTGACTTTGCTTGTTAGAAGGTCATAAAAGGAATCGCACGGGACCCCAGCACACTGCGACCGTCATAAGATTGGGTCAGTTGCCAGGCGCCTGAATTTGGATCACATGACCCTGGGGATGTTGCGACAGTCGTAAGTGTGAAAAACAGTCATAACTCACTTTGTCCAGTGCCGTTTTTGAGCTTCGGTCACTAAGCGAACTGTTGTAAGTTGAGGACTACGTAGAGTGCAGGTATGAACACGAGATCTGGGGAAAGAGCCACCAAGAGCCTTTTGCTCAAGGAATTGCTAAAGTTGCTAGGAAATGGCAGCCCGTTCCAAATTTTGAACCGTCCCTTGGGGAAATAATCCCACCCCCCTCTATTCTAGCATGGAAAACCAACAACATGGTGGCACTTAAATTTCTGGTTTTTAATCATCGGTGGTGTGAACGCCGCAGGGAGGGGAATTAAGTATCGGTTGGAGAGGAAACATTTTACAGAAACGGAACTTTCTCCTTCACAATCTGGGTTTTTCAGGTCTTCATAACTTTTCTTCTGTGCATTAAAATGAAATGCAACTCAAGGAGAAGACGATGGATCCTTGGGGCATCGGGATTGCAATTGTTTTTGCTAGGAATATTAGGACCTAATTACGGTAAAGAGAATGATTATTGAATACTACAGGTTTTTAACAGCTGCAAGAATAGTATTTGCCCCAATTCTGGGAAAATGAAAAATCTACCATCTGACCAGAGTATAATTACCCAAATTTTAGAATGTGCAGAAATGGATATAGATCTAACCTTGGAGATGAAAGAGAAAGAAGGTTCGATTTACTTTAAAACTTGGGAAATTTTTTTTATCAAGGGTTAGGAATACGACAGAATGAGAAAAGAGCTTGGAATTAAATAGAATATATGATTTTAGTTTTTTTTACTAAGCTCTATCTTCTATGTTAATAATAGCGTCGTTATTAGTGATTTTAAATACTAGTGGCGACAATTAGTTGATATTTTATTAATTAAGGTTATCTACTGCCAATTTTAAGGCATGTGGACTTCAACTCCCAGAATTCCACAGCCAGCAATGCTGGCTGTGGAATTCTGGGAGTTGAAGTCCACATGCCTTAAAATTGGCAAGGTTGAGAAACACTGAGTCCTAGAGGAATTGTATTTACTTATTAATTTCTAATTAGATGATTATAGCCAACTCTACTCATTATAATTGTTTAGTATTATATAAACGATGTTTGCTCAATATGTATATCCGGACGGTAGTTTGCTTGTTAAAAGCATGAGATTATTGTTGGGGGTAACCCCATTATTCTACCTTCCCCTACCCTATCCCCAATTCCTTATTCCTAACCCTTCCCATACGCGTATTTACCCTATCCTTTCCCTACCCGTACAAAATGTAATAAAATATTTATATATATATAAAAAAGTGGATTCTGAAATGCAAGAGAGAGAGAGAGAGCGGAGGGGGCATAAAAGATAAAGGGGAGGGGGGTGTTCTATAAATGTGCTGTGACACTGGAGTCATCATAAGATGTTAGGTTACTTTGTTCCCTCCAGTCCTGGAGAGCCTGTTTCTCACATGCCACCTTCTCGGAGGGAAGCGTTGGGGTCCGTGTGAAGATCCACAGTGCTCTTCTATGACTCAGGCTCTCGTTTAATGGAAAAAACCCATTTAATGGAAAGGTAGATGGGGTCCCACCATCAAGGCCAGGGACTCTGGATCTTCAGAGCTCTCGAATTGGCGCCCTGCGTTGGCCGCTTTTTTGGACCCGTGGATTGGGCAGATGGATTCACCAGAACCAGACCCCAGCGGGATCCTCCACCTTCAGGTCCTACGTGCCCCTCAGGTCAGCCCTGAAGTGTGCTGGGTTGATGTTCCTCACCCTGGGCTCTTCTCACTAGTCTTGGCGAGCTTGGCTTCCACTCTTTTTCATTATCTGGATAATCCCACCGGATGGCCTTCCGAAATACGCCAGAGGGGTCGGTGATGACGCACTCGAAACTGGCGTGGAGGTCCTGAGCCCTCAACGGGGAGAAGATCAGGCATCGGGTCAACTGGCTGCCTTTCTCTCTGTGGACAAGGAGCAGAAGAGAAGCTGAAGAAGAGCCAGCACAAGCATCCTGGGAACTGGACGTCTTGTCTGGAGCGGCTCCTTCCCTGGATCCCAGCTAGTCCCCCGGCCCCATGCCCAGTTCTTGGCTCCTTCCAGAAGTACTAAATCCAGATCTTTTCCCACACCCATTTTCTCTTCCCACCAGACTAGAAATGGGGACCCACCAGACTTCAGCTGTTGTGCATTTCAGGATCAGAATCAGAATAAAGTTGGAAGGGACCTTGGAGGTCATCTAGTCCAACCCCCTGCTCAAGCAGAAGACCCTACACCATCTCAGACAAGTGGTCATCCAGTCTCTTCTTAAAAGGCTCCTGTGTTGGAGCACCCACAACTTCTGGAGGCAGGTGGTTCCACTGGTTAATTGTTCTTACTGTCAGGAAGTTTCTCCTTAGTTCTAGGTTGCTTCTCTCCTTGATGAGTTTCCACCTGTTGCTTCTTGTCCTGCCTTCTTTGTGACTTTGGAGAATAGCTTGACTCCCTCTTCTTTGGAGCAGCCCCTCAAATACTAGAATACTGCTATATTGTCTCCCCCCCCCCCCAGTCTTTCTTTTCTCTAGACTGGCCAAACCCAAGTCCTGCAGCCATTTTTCTTCCTACGTTTTAGTCTCCAGGCCTTTCATCATCCTAGTTGCTCTTCTCTGCACTTTTTCCAAAGTCTCAGCATCTTTTTGTGTAATGTGGGGGCCAAAACTGGACGTAGGTATTCCAGGTGTGGCCTAACTGAAAGCTTTATAAAGCGGGACTAACGCTTTTTTTCCTAAGGTGTGTCCTTTTTCCTAAGTAGAAGTTTAACCCGGGACAGATCCTGCCTCTCCTGTTTTCCCTTGGAGCAGGGGTAGGCCACCTTGGCTCTTTTATGACTCGTGGACTTCAACTCCCAGAATTCCTGAGCCAGCCACGCTGAGGGGAAAGGGAGAGGTTTCCAAGCTGAGCCAGGCTGGCTCAGGAATTCTGGGAGTTGAAGTCCAGAAGTCATGAAGGGGCCATAGTTCCCCCATGCTGGCTCAGGAATTCTGGGAGTTGAAGTCCACGAGTCATAAAGGGCCCATAGTTCCCCCATGCTGGCTCAGGAATTGTGGGAGTTGAAGTCCACCAGTCATGAGGGGCCATAGTTCCCCATGCTGGCTCAGGAATTCTGGGAGTTGAAGTCCACAAGTCATGAAGGAGCCAAAGTTCCCCCATGCTGGCTCAGGAATTCTGGGAGTTCAAGTCCACGAGTCATAAAAGAGCCAAGGTTGCCTACCCCACCTTGGAGAAAACAGCTGGACCTTCTCTACTCACACGGTGGGCTCCTCCTTCACTGATCCGTTTGGGTACAGCTGGTCCACAAAACTGCCGTTTGCCAGCCAGTACATGATGCCACTCTCCGTGTAGGCGGTTACGCCCTGGCAGCAGACCCGAATCTTCTGTCCTGAGAGCCAAAAGGAAAAGCGGGATGTTGTTCACCCACGGAGGAATCTTAGAGGCCCACCTGGGTGCCTACTGGAGCCCCCCACCCACCCCTTGACAGGCAGAGGGTGGCACTGATCAGTGGCCGTCCAGAATCCCTCCGCCAGATGTTCTCCCAACCAGGCCCCTGTGGATTTCATTGGACAGGTGGTCCTCGACTTACGACATCAGTTGGGCCCAACATTTCTGCTAAGACACGTACTAAATTTCTGTTCAGTGAGTTTTGCCCCATTTTAGGACCTTTTCTGCCCCCGTTGTTAAGTGAATCACTGCAGCTGATAAATTAGTAACATGGTCATCAACTGAATCCAGCTTCGCTCATTGACTTTGCTGGTCAGATGGTCGCCAAAGGGGACACAGGGCAACTGTCATAAGTATGAGTCAGTTGCCGAGGGTCTGAGTTGTGCTCACGTGACCCTGGGGATGTTGCAACGGTTGTGTGAAAAAGGGTCATAAGTCACTTTTTTGGGTGCCGTCGTAACTTCGGACGGTCACTAAATGAACTGTTGAACATTGAGGACTAGCTGTGGCTTGTTCAGACTGCAACTCTTCCCCCCCTTCCCTAGCCCTCCCTCTCCAGCTGGGGACGCCTGGCGGGACTCACCCAGGTAAGGCCTGAACCGGAGAGAGGAGATGATGCGGGACCCCTTCTCTGCTTTCTCTGCTGCCGGAGCTGAAAAGAGAGCGGGATGGGGTGGGGCTGGGTGGGGGTGCAACCCCTGCGCCCCCCCTCGGGCTCCCCTTTGTAGGAGGGGGCCTGCGTCCATCTTTGTGCCTGAGGTCTGCAATGGGCAGTCGATAAACTTAATAATAAAATAATATATAAAATAATATAATAAAATAATATAAAAAATAATATAATAAAACAAAATAATAAAAATAATGAAATAAAATGAAATAAAATAATATATAAAATAAAATGCAATGAAATAAAATAATATATAAAATAATATAAAATAATAAAATAAAATAACAAAATAATAAAATAAAATAAAATAATATATAAAATAATAAATAATAATAAATAAAATAAAATAATATATAAAATAATAAAAAATAAAATAAAATGAAAAATAAAATAATATATAAAATAACATAAAATAATATAAAATAAAAAATAAAATAAAATAAAATAAAATAAAATAAAATAAAATAATAAAATAAAATAAAATAATAAAATAAAATAAAATAAAATAAAATAAAATAAAATAAAATAAATAAAATAAAATAAAATAAAATAAAATAAAATAAATAAAATAAATAAAATAAAATAAAATAAAATAAAATAAAATAAAAAATAAAATAATATATAAAATAAAATAAAATAATATATAAAATAATATAAAATAATAAAATAATAAAATAATAAAAATAATAAAATAAAATAATATATAAAATAATAAAAAATAATAAAATAAAATAAAAAATAATAAATAAAATATATAAAATAATAAAAAATAAAATAAAATAAAATGAAATGAAATAAAATAATATATAAAATAATATATAAAATAAAAAATAAAATAAAAAATAAAATAAAAAATAAAATAAAATAAAATAATGAAATAATAAAATAACATAAAATAATAAAATAAAATAAAATAATAAAAAAATTTAAAGGCTCTTCTGGCAAGCAGAATCCATCGGAGGCTGGGAGCTCCTTTTGTGACTAACCCACTTTATGAAAAAGCCGACGCTTCTGTCAGCTGCAGTTCACTTCAGCAGAAGCCAAGAGAGGCTGGACTGATGGAGGATTTGCACTCTGCACCACCTATCTCCCCATAACCACCCCTCTCCTCCTTCCTCCCACCCCTTTCCCCTATTTCAATCCCAGACTGCCCGCTCTCCTCCCATCTCCGGGACCCTCGCGCGCCCCACTCTCTCTGCTGTGGGGCCGCAGAGAAGCCACGCTTGGCTTCTTGCCTTCATAAAGATTAGGCCTGGGTGGGGAGGGGGGCTGAATTCATGATGGTGTCAGGCTTGGCAGGCGGCCAGTAGCTCTTCTACTGCTACAATAAAAACATTAATAACTCCGTCGGCATTGACAAAATCCCCATCGGTCAATTGCGGAAGGCAGCTTGACTCAGAAGGGCTGAAATCCTGCCACGAGACTTTTAACCCCATCAAACGACAGCGTCTGCCTATCCCAGGTCCTTGGTGAGGATTGGATATAGAGGGTAAAAAGAGGCTGGATCCAGTCTGAATATCTGGCTGTGCAACCAATCACAATAGTACAATGCAATGCCATCCCGTGGCCTTACCTTGGATGGAGGGGGAGACGCTAAGCAGAACCAGCAGCAGGCAGCCAGCAAGGGGCCGGGCGTCTGGAAAGAAAAGAGTGGGGAGATCAATGGGTCTCCCGGCTTCCTTGGGAATTGGAGCAAGGGGCTGCTTCCCAGTCCGCGGTCTTGAACCCAGGAAGGGCCGATGATGAAACAGGATTAAATTCAGTGGTGAAAAATGTAAGGTTTACATTTAGGCAAGAAAAACCAGAATTGTGGGAGTTGAAGTCCAGAAGCCATTCATAAAAGGGCCACGGTTCCCACCTCTGCTTTAAATATTTGTTTAAAGTTGGACAGCTTTATAAATGTACTAAAATAATGATTTAAAAATAATAAAATCCTTTATAAATGTACTAAAATAATGATTTAAAAATAATAAAATCCTAAGTCAAGCTGCACTGTCAAGCTGCCCATTCTCTTTTTCAAGAGAGGCAATAATAAAATAAAAATAAATAAGGAAACAAAAAGTGTGAACAGATTGTCTCCAGCATCTCACACCCAGATAAGCAGGGATTAACACCAGACAATCAAGCAGAAAAGAATATCCTAATAGAGGAACTAGCAATGAGAAAAATCCACACTCCCACCAAAACTGACAGGATAAACTGCTGTTATATAAACAGCGAGCAAAACACACTCACGCCACAATCTTGATGGTGTTACCTAGTACGGTAATGAAATGTCTACAAGAAAACAAGCCAGCTCAGAGAGAACGAAGAAACTCCCACTATCAGATGCCTTCAAAGTTTTCCCAGAGCAGCTTGCATAATAATTTAATAACAGAAGAGGATAGTAATTAAATTCGATATATAAAAGAATTAATTAAAACAATAAATGCATAGCAAGTGGTAGAGACATCTTGAAACTAATTATGGCAAACACATTTACACTATTGACTTATATTGTACTGAGTGCATTTTTGGCTTATTGTTTATCCTAAAGCAGCTTAACCACAGTGAACAAAGTGGACAATATAAAACAGAACCAAATTAATATATCAATATTAAAAGGATGGGAACAACTAAAAGCTTGTGGAAAGAGAAATTACAGAAATAAGGTAGTATAAGAAGATACCTGAACAAATTTAAACCCTTCTGGCTTGAGACGTGGGCTGGGAGAGAACTAAGGGCAGACATCCATTCATCCCTCAATCTCTCTCTCTTTATCTATATCTATCTTATGAATCTATCTCCCATTCTCTCGCTCTCATCTCTCTCATCTCTCTCTTTCATCTCTCGTTCTCTCTCTCTGTCCCAAGCTGGCAGGAATAGCCAACACCCCAGAAGATAGGCTGAAGATACAGAAGGATTTGGACAGACTTGAACACTGGGCGCTATCTAACAAAATGAAATTCAGTTAGAAAAAAAGCAAGGTACTACATTTAGGCAAGAAAAGCCAAATGCACAGGTACGGAGGAGGTGGTACCTGGCTCAATAGCAGTAACTGTGGGAGGGGTCTCGGAGTCCTAGTGGACAAATAGGAGCCAGCCGTGTGCAGCAGCAGCCAAAAAAAGCCAATGCAATCCTAAATTGCATTAACAAAAGGATTGAATCAAGATCACTTGAGGTACTAAGTCCACTCTATAAAGCCTCAGTAAGACCACACTTGGAATCCTCCACCCAGTTTTGGTCCCCACGATGTTAAAAAAAGATGTTGAGATTCTAGAAAGAGCAACACAGATGATCAGCAGGATGGAGGCTAAAACGTATGAAGAACAGTTGCAGGAACTGGGTGTGTCTGGTCTAGTTTAATGAAGAGAAGGAGGGACAGGATAGCAGTCTTCCAGTATCTCAGGGGCTGCCCCAAAAAAGAGGGAGTCAAGCTGTTCTCCAAAGCGCCTGAAGGCAGGACAAGAAGCAACGGAGGGAAACTCATCAAGGAGAGAAGCAACCTAGAACTAAGGAGAAACTTCCTGACAGTGAGAACAATTAACCCGTGGAACTACCTGCCTCCAGAAGCTGAGAATGCTCCAACACTGGAAGTTTTTAAGAAGAGACTGGACAGCCATTTGTCCTGAAATGGTATATAGGGTTTCCTGCTTGAGCAGGGGGCTGGACTAGATGACCTCCAAGGTTCCTTCTGACTTTATTATTATTATTATTATTATTATTATTATTATTATTATTATTATTATTATTATTATTATTATTATTAACAACCTGCCTCCAGAAGCGGTGAATGCTCCAACACTGGAAGTTTTTAAGAAGAGACTGGACAGCCATTTGTCCGAAATGGTGTAGGGTCTCCTGCCTAAGCAGGGGGTTGGACTAGATGACCTCCACGGTCCCTTCCAACTCTTGTCTCTCTCTCATTTCTCATCCATCCAACCATCCATCCCACTTATATGCCGCCCATCTCGCTATTCATCCCTACAATTCGGCAGGAACCCTACCAGAAGCGCGCAACGGGTCAAAGAAAAGAGGGGCTACAGGATATAGATCGTTTATGAAGTTTAAATGTAATGAAGATACGTATAAGCTAAAAAAAATATATTGATAAAGGCCATAATGATGTAATTAGAAATGTACTCACTAACCTGAATACGAGACAGTTTAGGGTAAAAAAAGAGAAGAAATATCTGATGTTATATAACCTGAGATTTGCAGTAAAGATTTTGTTATCGAACTATCGATTAACCCAGTCACCGCGTGGCTTTTGAAATATTCACATGTAAAATTGGAAAATTCATAAAATATTATTAAAAAAAGAAGAAGAAGAAGAAGGGAGGGGCTGCCGCCTCTTATCCTCTCGGGACCGCTCATCCCGAGTGGGCCGGGCCGGGCTCCGCTCCTCCGCCCTCAAAGGCCGCCTGGCCTCGCTTGGCGTCCCCGGGAAGGCTCCGCTTGCCCTGCGCCGCCGATCGGGACCCGCGGGAGGGCTCGCCTGCCTGCGCCCGGGCGCTCGGCCGGAGGAGGGGGCTCCGGAGACCCCCTACCCAGCCGGCCGGTCCTCTCCTCCCGCAAGGGATCCGGTGGCTCCCCCGGGGCGCTTTCTGGGGGTCCCGGTCCTCCCCCCGCCGAGCAGAGCCGAAGCAGCCCCCCTTGCCCGGCTGCCTGGCGCCCCGGGGGGGGGCTTGGCGTACCTGGCTCAGGTGGGCGCTGCCAGAGGCGCCCTTCTGCCGGGAGGGGGGAGAACCCTCCGCCCCCCCCCCGACCCCCGGGAGCAGGTGGGAGGGAGGCGGCCGGAGCGACGCTTACCTGGGCCTGAAGGGGGCATGGCTGGTCCTTCCTTCCTCCCTCTGGGCAGGACTGGCTGCTGGCAGAAGGAGCGCTTTATAGCAAGACTCGAACTCAAATCAGCACTTTTCTCCTCTCGGGGTGAGTCAGCCGCCCCCGCCGCAGCCGGAAGACGCCCAAGAGAATGGAACGGAATAGAATAGAATAGAACAGAATAGAATAGAATAGAATAGAATAGAATAGAATAGAATAGAATAGAATAGAATAGAATTAGAAATAAGAATAGAATAGAAATAAGGAATAGAATAGAATAGAATAGAAAATGGAATGGAATAGAATAGAATAGAATAGAATAGAATTAGAAATAAGAATAGAATAGAATAGAATTAGACATTATAGAATAGAATAGAATAGAATAGAATAGAGCTGGAAGAGACCTTGGAGGTCATCTAGTCCAGCCCCCCACTCAAGCAGGAGAACCTATACCATCTCAGACAAGTGACTGTCTAGCCTCTTCCAGTGATGGAGCACCCACGATTTCTGGTGGCAAGCTGTTCCACTGGTTGATCGTCCTCACTGTCAGGAAGTTTCTCCTTAATTCCAGGTTGCTTCTCTCTTTGGTCAGTTTCCAACCGTTGTTTCTCATCCTGCCCTCTGCTGCTTTGGAGAATAATTTGACCCCCTCTTCTTTGTAGCAGCCTCTCAGATATTGGGACGCTGCTTTCATGTCTCCCCTATTTCTTCTTTTCTTTAGACTAGCCAAACCCAAGTCCCGCAGCCGTTCTTGGTATGTTTTAGTCTCCAGGCCTTGGATCATCTTAGTTGCTCTTCTCTCTGATTTTTTTTCCAAACACTCAACATCTTTTTTGTGATATGGTGACCAAAATTAGCTACAGTATTCGAGGTGTGGCCTCACTAGGGCTTTATAAAGCGGTACTAATACCTCGCGTGATCTTGATTCTATGCCCGGCTGCCCCCCCCTGGATCTTTGGGAAGGAAAGACACACACCCCACTCCATTTGGTTGAAGGGATGACGGGCCCTTCTACTAAGTGGTCGCAGCAAATCAAGGCAGAGTCTGAAGAGTCCCAGGCAAAACTGTAAGGTTTTTCCTCTGTTCCTGGCCCTCCCCCCCACACCCTTAATAATAATAATAATAATAATAATAATAATAATAATAATAATAATAATAATAATAATAATAATAATAATAATAATAATAATAATAATAATAATAATAAAGTTGGAAGGGACCTTGGAGGTCATCTAGTCCAACCCCCTGCTCAGGCAGGAAACCCTATACCATTTCAGAAAATGGCTGTCCAGTCTCTTCGTAAAAACTTCCAGTGTTGGAGCATTCACCACTTCTGGAGGCAGGTAGTTCCACTGGTTAATTGTCCTCACTGTCAGGAAGTTTCTCCTTCATTCCAGGTTGCTTCTCTCCTTGGTTAGTTTCCATCCGTTGCTTCTTGTCCTGCCTTCAGGGGCTTTGGAGAATAGCTTGACTGCCTCTTCTTTGGGGCAGCCCCTGAGATACTGGAAGGCTGCTATCCTGTCCCCCCCTCGTCCTTCTCTTTTTCTCTCCACTTGCATAATTTCCCTAACTTCCTCTGCCCCTCCCTCCATCTATGGCAGGATGCCAGCAAGCTCTGCAATGTGCAGTGAAGATGGCAGAGCTGACACGTAACCTCTCACCCCCTTTCCTGCCCCACATGGGAACCAAAGGCAGGGCCCCCACACCTGGCTAAAAGGTAGCACACATCCTGATGGCTGCAGCTGCCAAACGGTCTTGGGTAACCAGGCAGAAGAAGAGCAGCAAAGATCCCTAGGGCAGGGGGGTCTTCAAACGGTCAGTCTGGGGCTGCCAGGCGAAACCCACCCAAAGGGGTCTGAGTGAAGGGCAGGCACTTGACCCAGCTGCCCAAACGCCACCACCACCACCCCACTCGAAGGCTGCCACTGGGAGAGTTTCTAGACCTTTTTGAGGAAATGCACAGGATGACATCCAGCTCAGGGGCCTCCCCTTGTCCTCCCAATGTGCCAACACGGAAACAAGCCCCAGTTCACGGAATTACGCTCTGGGCAAGCTCTGATGGTCTGATTCACATCGGCTCATATACCCTGACGGGAAAAAAAAGTCCTGGGCTCGTTCATGCCCACTTCCTTGGCGGAGTGGGAGGTCACGCTTCGGGTGACAGGGACAGAATTCCCACACCTTCCGGCCTCCTGCCAGGTAGATGGGAAGTGCCAAGCTCTGGAAGGCCACCGGAAGGCAGCTGGACTTCAAGAAAGGTGCCCGTTGGCAGAAACCGGATGGGAAGTTCCGCCAGCTGGATTTGCACCTGGAGTAATTAAGTGGGAAGCGCTCCAAGAGGCCTCCTCCTCTCCTTGTACTTCCTTGCCTCGTCCAGCTTTGGTCACCACAATTACAAACAAAGATGTTGAGACCTTGGAAAAAGTTCAGAGAAGAACAACTAAGATGATCCAAGGCCTGGAGGCCAAAACATACGAAGAACGGCTGCGGGACTTGGGTTTGGCTGGTCTAAAGAAAAGAAGAAACAGGGGAGAAATGATAGCAGCCTTCCAGTATTTGGGGGGCTGCCACAAAGAAGAGGGGGTCACGTTATTCTCCAAAGCCCCTGAAGGCAGGACAAGAAGCAACGGATGGAAACTCATCAAGGAGAGAAGCAACCTGGAACTAAGGAGAAACTTCCTGACAGTTAGAACAATTAACCAATGGAACAACCTGCTTCCAGAAGCTGTGAATGCTCCAACACTGGAAGTTTTTAAGAAGAGACTGGACAGCCATTTGTCTGAAATGGTGTAAGGTCTCCTGCCTGAGCAGGGGGTTGGACTAGAAGACCTCCAAGGTCCCTTCCAGCATTATTCTGATT